ATATCTCGCTGATTAGCCAATGAAAAGGGTAGCGGTTGTACGCCAATTACCATGTTTCTCTTTTATTAGTGTAGATGTTTACTTTGGATTTATATTCGTTCACACAAACACTCCATCCATGCTTTTGTTCCGGCCCTCCGGTCCAGTTTAAGAACCCATTGTGGCCCTCGAGTCAAAAAGTTTGCCCACCCCTGCTCCAGCCCACTGTCTGGATGATAAAGATGTGGATTCGATGCTGAGAGAATAAGAATGAGAGGGGGACGCCATGGCCACCTTTATCAGGAAGAATAATGCCACGGAGAACAGGAATAAGAAAGTGAGACATCACTACAGCGGTCCAGCACCTCCTCCCGACAGATTCACCCTCTGTCCTGGACATCACAGGGATGGATGTACAGACGCAGTGGATCTGGGCAGAAGCGCTTTGCCAGGCTTGCCAGCAGGAAGGCGACAGAGAGACTGGCCCACAAGTGGAGGGTTGAGGATGTGTAACTTCTCTAAGGCTGTGGGAGTGGCTGAGGTTGTGGTAGTGGACATCGGGCAGCCAGCTGTCCAGCTGTAACAGTCGTCTATGCCAATAATCAGGACCCACACACCTGAGCAATTGTTGAAGACTAGTTTTGACCACTAGCATTTGAGAAGACTATTTGAGACCTGATGTTTGGACTGAGGCACCTGTAACTTCTCATATGTGCCAACACCAGTGATTGCTGCTGACTTACAGAAGAAACACTGATTTTCCAGTGTCCCAGGGTTTGTTCTTGGTTAGGTTTTTAATAAACACTTATATTTTTAAAAGTTCAGTCAGACTGATTTCTCCTTGACATGCTTGTGGGGAGTAGCCTGGCACTATTCTCAGTGCTGGGTATTTGAAGTGTGTAGCCTGTAGGGTAAGCGAGGATATAGCCCAGTTCCACCTCCCAGTCAGGGGAATGGTGTTGCCTGGTCAGTGACCATGAGGAGCAGGGCAGCACAGACCGAGTGTTTCCCTCGTCCTTGATGGCTAACAAGCTTTACCAGTCTCTCTGTTTTTGTTCTGACCACAGGCCTTTCCCAGCTTGGCTCCCCCCTCTCCCCTCTCCTCTCTTCCTTCTCTTTTTTCCCCTCTGCTAGTTAAGCCCCTAGCCCAGCCATGGGAAAACTACTAAAAATAAATAAAAACATATCTTGGAATTTAGATTTAAAAAATTGAAATAGCCCTATATCAGGTTTCCTCAACCTCAGCACTATTGACATTTTGGTCTGGATAATTCTTTGTGTGTGGGGGGGGACGGTGGGTGGGAGGAGGACTTTCCTGTGTATTATAGGGTTTTCAGCAGTATCTACCCACTGTAAGAAATACCACTCAGTTACAACAACCCAAAATATTGCCAGATGTTACCAACTGTCCTTTACAGAAGGGGTAAAATCACTTCTGGTTGAATACTATACTAAGAAATTTAATTCATAATGAAAAAACCATCCTGGGTGCTCCTTCATTGTAATGTTGATATATACAGTTGATTGACTTTATATTGATTAGACAGACTATCTTACAACTTTGTAGATAGAGGTTAACTTATAGAAAAACCAACGACAATGTCAATCAATAATTATTGTCTGCAAGCAATGCAAATGATTCCCATCCATAGTAATGAGCATGAATTTTTCCCAGCAGAGATGGAATTGATTTCCATCTGGTAGAAGAGATAATTCTAAATATTATAGTTTATTACTTAATATGATATTAATCATTTTGCTACTATTAGCAAATACATTTCAGCATTCAGATAATCTAAATCTCTGAACCTCAAATTCTTATTTGAACAAGTACTACCATCTTACTAGCTCCCTCATTATTTAGGATAATAATGGATAAGTAGTTTATTATGATGAAGAAAATCTTTGGCAATTGTTCATTTTATATTTGTACTAGAGGCCTGGTGCATGAAATTCATGCACGGGTAGGGTCCCTAAGCCTGGCTGGTGATCAGGGCTGATCTGGGTCTTCCTGCTGTCGGCCAGGGCCTTCCTTCATTCCACGCTGCCCCCTGGTGGTCAGCACATGTCATAGTGAGCAATTGAACTCCTGGAGTCCTAGTGGAACAATTTGCATACTAGGCTTTTATATATATAGACTAGTGGCCCGGTGCATGAAATTCGTGCACGGGGGAGGGTGTGCTCCTCAGCCTGGCCTGCACCCTCTCTAATTTGGGACCCCTCGAAAAATGTCCTGCCAGTTTACAGGGATTGGGCCTAAACCAGTAGTCGGACATCCCTCTCGTAATCCAGGACTGCTCTGCCCACACTGCAGCCACCGCTACTGCCTCAGCCACTGCCTGCCCAAGATCCATGGCTGTGGGGACAGGGCCCGTGCCCACGCCCCGCAGAGAATCAGCTGGGAGGGAGTGCTGTATGCTGGCAGTGGGGCCAAGTGGACCCAGCTGCAGAGGAGCCTGGATAAGAAGCTGGGCGAGCTAAGCAGCCAGAGGAGGAGCAAAAGGAGGGAGAAGGAGATGTGAGCCAGCCCTCACACCCTCCGGCCTTGTCTTTGCAAATGCAAGTGGGAGCAAGCGGCTGTCCATGGTGCTTTCTGTGCCTTATAGCTGCTCCGGTGACGTGACCAGGGCTGCATGAGCAAGCCAGGGGCCTCTGGGAGGGGGTGGGTCCTCTGGCCCAGCGTGCCATGCCTTGCGCTGGGGTGGGGGCGGGCTGCAGTGGCTGTTCTCTGGACCTTCTGGGGAGAGCGGCCCCGGGTCTCAGTTTTGCTGGCACCAGGGCCCCCTGGGGCTCTCCGAGGTCCCTCGCCAACTGCCTTAAGAGAACCTTTAAGAGAGGTTCCGGGAGTCTGGGCTGCTTCCTGGCCTGCAACACGGCCCTCCCGCCCTCCGATCACCATGGCGGGGGTCCGGGGTTGCTGCCTGGACTGCGCCCCGCCCTCCTGCCCTTCAATTGCCATGGTGGGGGTCCGTGGTTGCTGCCTGGCCTGCACCCCGCCCTCCCGCCCTTCAACCGCCATGGTGGGGGTCCGTGGTTGCTGCCTGGCCTGCTCCCCACCCTCCCGCCCTTTGATTGCCATGGTGGGGGTCTGGGGTTGCTGCCTGGCCTGCGCCCAGCCCTCCCGCCCTCCGGTTGCCATGGCGGGGGGTCCATGGTTGCCGCCTGGCCTGCGCTCTGTCCCTCCTGCCCTCCAATTGCCATGGCGATCAGGGCCGCAGGCCAGCCGGCAACCCCAGCTTTCCCATGGCGATCCCCCGCTGGGGGGTGGGGAAAGGCAGCCGTTGCCCACCCCCCAACTCTTGCCTGCCGCCTGGGTTGCCAATCACCATTCTTCAGTCCTTCCCCTTTTGCCTCTCATCATTGCGAGTATGCAAATTAACCACCATCTTTGTTGGCGGTTACCACCATCTTGGCTGTCAGTTAATTTGCATATCTCGCTGATTAGCCAATGGGAAGGGTAGTGGTCGTACACCAATTACCATGTTTCTGTTTTATTAGATAGGATGAGTTATGTTTTTCACCTTTTTAATTGACTTTATTGGGGTGACACTGGTTAATAAAATTATATAGGATTCAGATGTACAATTCTATAACACATCATCTGTATATTTTATCATGTGTTCACCATCCCATGTCAGGTCTCCCATCACCATTTATATCACCCTCTTCTACCTCTCCCCCTTCCCTCTGATAATCACCACACTGTTGTGTGTCTATGAGGTTGTTGTTGTTGTTTTTGGTTCATCGCTTCACCAGTGGGGCAATGCTCCTCCTCTCTGACAGCTGTCAGTCTTTTCTATTTTGTTTGTTAATTTATTTTGTCCATTAGATTCCACATGAGTGGAATTATGGTTCGTGTCTTTCTCTGGCTGACTTATTTCACTTAGTTTAATGCTTTCCAGGACCATCCATGCTGTTGCAAAGGGTAAGATTTCCTTCTTGGGTTTTTTTTTAGGGCATAGTAGTATTCTGTTGTGTAAATGTACCACAGCTTTTTTATCCACTCATCTGCTGATGAACACTTGGGCTGCTTCCAAATCTTGGCTATTGTAAATAATGCTGCAATGAACATAGGGAGTGCATGTTTTTCACCTTTTGGAAATGATAACTTGCCCTGGCTGGTGTGGCTCAGTTGGCTGAGCATCTTCCCATGCACCAAAAGGTTGCTGGTTCATTTCCTGGTCAGGGCATGTGCCCAGGTTGTGGGGTTCGAGCCCCAGTAGGAGATGTGCAGGAGACAGCTGATCGATGTTTCTCTCTTTCTACCCCTCTGCCTTCCTCTCTCTCTAAAATCAATAAAAATATATTTAAAAGAAGAAGAAATAACTTTGCAGGCTATAAGAAAATAAATACATATTAGGTGGTAATAAGTTATAAGAATAAAAGTAGGGTAAGAGCACAGCTATTGGCTGGTGGTGTAGTGTGCACTATTAAATATGGGGCCAATCAACCAGCAAGTCCTGTGCTTTCTCTCTTTTAATTATAAGTGGGACCTAACCCCTTCAGTACCAACTGCTAGCTCCCAGGCCTCCCTGACACCCCCTTCTGGGATGAGGACTTCATGGAGTCTCTCCCAATGCACCAAGCATCCAGGCGGAGCCACCATTCCGGGAATAGTTGCTCTGGTCCAGCATCCTCAAGGGAACCCTGGAGGGGCCAGTTGGCCCCTGAGAGCCCGGGTGGGCGGAGCCTCCTCCAGCCCCGCCCCCTACGGCGGAGCGCGCGCGCCCTCGGAACACGGCGTCTCGCGCTGCAGTTCCGGTCGGAACTACCCGGTGGGGCACGCTGACATGGCTTCGCTGGTAGTGAGCGGGGCTCGGCACCTGCTGAGGCGAGCGGACTTCGCGAAGGTCCTGCGGAGACACCGACATAAGAAGAAATGGGTAAGGGCTAGCCGGAAGCCCAGGCGGGAACGGTAACTGTGGCCCCGGCGGCCGCCCCCGGGAAACTTGCCGTGAGGTTCGTCACTCCCGCCCCGTGGGGCGCCCTGGGCCTCTTTCCCCGCCCCTCGGGGGGCGTCACTAGCCCCTCCCTCTCGCGTCTGTGCTGTCCGCGCCCGAGTCTTTTGTCCGCCCTTTTATTTCGCCTCTAGTCCTCGACTCCCCCTCGTGTTCCGTCTGCAGCCTCCCGTCTCCGCCTCCGTCACTGACGTCATCACCGCCGCCCTCATTCTTCCAGTTACGTCACGGCCTCTTGTTCCCGGCGTTCGGCCATCTTCCCCGGGACGCCCGCTGTCCCTTCCACGTCCCTTCCTCCCTTTTCCTCCCCCTCCCCTCCCCCCCTTCCCACATGACTTTCTCTCCTTTCCGGGTAGACTTTTCAGCCCGGCCGCCCGCGCCTGTCGAAAAAGGCCCTAGCAACTTCCCCTTTCTGCCTGGGTCCCCGCCGCCCTCCGGGAAAGGACTCTCCCCGTTCCTCACCCTCGAGCTGCCTCTGGGGCCCAGGAAAGGTTACAGCGATCCCCCTGCCCATCCCGCCAGCACTTCCCCAAACCAGGGCAAAGGGTGCGTCAGCTCCACTCACCCTCCGGGTTCCCCCCAGTTCTCCAGAGACCCCTTCTCTGGCCTCACCTGCGGCCCTGGGATTTCTTCTGACACGGGCCGGCCCGGCTCCCTGCCGGAACCGGTGCCCTCCCGGCCCCTACCGCCCCTCTCCCCACCCCCACAGCCTCCCCTACGCCTGGCGAGATGTGCCTTTGAACCCTGTTTGCCCCTCCTCGGAAGGCAACCCTGCTGCGAGCCTGTCTACTGGGGGTCACCCCCTCCGAGTCCTTGTTTTGGCCGATTCAGGCTCAGGGGGTCACCCCCTCTCCATCCGCAGAGCCCCTATTGCAGCCTGATGAGCCCCCCGAGAATACCGTGGCCCGGCCCCAGAAGCCCTTACACGGACCAGAGCCCCTACCTCTGTTACTCTGCGCAGTATCCTGCAGCCCTGGTCACATGCCCGGTGACTGGCCCCGTGATTTCCCCTTACCTTGCTCACCGGCCCATGGAATACAGACCAGTAACTTACCCACCCGTTTCTCACGGGGTTTTGCACGTCTCGCGGATCTCCCCTCTGTACCCTACCTGGTCTTCAGGGAGAAGTTACAACGATTCTCCTTCTTCAGCATCTTCCCCGCCCACTGGCCAGCTTTACCTGGGTCATCTGAGGCCTCCAGACTCTCGTAAACCTCAACCCCAGCTTGACCCACCCCTGGAGAAAAATTATTGTGGCTCCCTGTTTTCCCAGGCAAATGCGCCGGGCTGTCCTCGCTCCCCTCAAGAGGACTCCCATCACTATTCCCATCTTCCCCCAGAGGCCCCCGTGTCTACCCCTGGGAGCCCCTATTGTGGCGACCCTATACCAGCCGGAATGATTGATTCTTCTTGCTCACTCCAGTCCCAGGCTTCCAGGAAGGCTTGCTTAGAGTCCGTTTCCTCCTGGGAGACTAATGGGAACTCGTACCTTGTTTCTGGCACCCCGATTTCTGGTTCCCCCTGTTCCAAGGAGCCACCTCTTCCCCAGTCTGCGCAGTATCCTAATTCTGCCTTCTCTTTCCCTTCACCCCTGGGCAACCAGTTTATATCTCCACCGCAGTCACCTCCCCGTAGAAGCTATAATGAACCCTCTCTCCTTACCCCAGTGTATCCCCAAGTGAAATCCCCCAAATCTCCAGAGTTAAAACAGCCATGTGCTCCCTGCAGCCCTGACCAGTACACTCCTTCTGATCAACCCAAGCCCCGTGAGGATAGCGCCTCTCCTCCACTTCTCTCCCACCCTTGTGGTCTCTCTGATCCTTCTTGTTCCATCACAACTTGTTCAAATTCCCGCCCCCAAACACTTCCCCAAGGGGCTATCTTACCTACTCTGGTCCCTAGAACCCTGAAAACTGTTAATCCCACATCACTTCCCCCCCGCCTTCCTTGTGATTCTATCTTACCTAATGTTTTTGCTCAGAGCTACCCCCATGGACCACCTCTGGGAACCCCTTGCAATGCCCATATATATTCTGTGGTTCCCTCCACCCCTAATCCCTGCCCACTCTCTGGTTCCACGGGGCCCCCTCAGTGTCCTAACCAGCCCATGGTGCCTCCTTGTGGCACTTACGGCACCCCTAGGGGCCCACCCCAACCCCCTCGACAGCCTCCATGTTCTACCCACATCTATTCATTTATCCCTTTAAGAACACCTTTTGACCCCCAGAGTTTACCCATTGCCCCCCGACCCTGCGGCCACCCTGATACTACGCCCTGTGGCCTCCATGTATACTCTGTGGCTTCTCAAGGCTCTTGCAAAGAGCCCCCCCAGATACCCTACAGCTCTCCATTGCCTTCATCCACGAGTTCCAGCTGTAGTAGCAATATTCCCAGCTGCAGTTCAACTGTTATAATTAATAAATGCCAGAGTAGTGACAACCAGAACAAGAATACCCACCAAAGCAGAAGTCGAAGCCAGTGTGAGAATCCCAACCATCTTAGCAGAAGTCGGAGTAAAAGCAAGTGTCGCCATCTTAGCAGAAATCAAAGCCTGACCAATCGCTCCAACCAAAGCTTAAATGAGGATCAGAGTGAGAATCTTCAACTTGCTATATTTCAAAGACAGAGTGAGAGTCCCCAATATAGAAAAAGTCAAGGTCCAAACATGAGTTCCCACCATCTCAAAAGGCAGGGCAAGAGCCAAAACAAGAGTTCCCACCATCTCAAAAGGCAGGGCAAGTGCAAAAGCTCTCATCACAGCAGGAGCTGGAGCAAGAGTCCCCACTGTAATAAGAAATGAGAGCCAAGAGCAAGAGTTCTGACCAAACCAGAAATCCAGGCCAAAGCAAAATTCACAGACAGGAACAGGACTGCCAGCCATAGTAACACTCAGCTGTGGCAATCAGGACCAACTTATGGACTCCTCAGTTGATACCTTCATTTTCCTTTTAATCTACTTTTATGCTCGTCAAGCCTGACTGATGTCCCTCTCTGCTACTCCCATAGAAGTCATCCTAGAAGTTCCCAGTTTGGTTTGAACCCCAAAATTTCAATGAACTCTCCTTTTCCTACCTTCCTGGGGTCTGGAAACTCTCCAGAATTACCCTCCACCCTGTGATCGCATTATGGTTTTTGCCACTGCATAACCTTAGGTAAGTACCCTTATCTCCATCAAATGTGGAAGATTGATGTTTTTGTATCCCACTGAACTATCTGTTGTGCTCACGTAAGCTAGGAGACATGAAAGTGCTTTAGAAAATGGAAGGGCTAGTCAGAGAGAAAGGGTCTTTTGCTTTTCAGCCTGATACTTTCCCTAAGGGCTCCATAATTTCTTCCAATCTTCTGTAGATTTTCCTCAAGTCCTCTTCTGAGCTCTCATTCTCTTAAGTTCCTCTTACTCCAAGGCCTGGAGGAGTGCCCCTTTCTTGGTGACCCCCACATGCTATTGTGAGAACTACAGCTTCCTTTCTCTCACACCCCTGAGATAGACCAGCTCCTTAGTACTTTTCTCTCCCACACTTCTCTGGCTGGCAGAAGAAGGGTCCAAAGGCAGGAGTGGGCACTAACTGGATCCACATTATCTCTAGAGATCTGATTTATTGCTGGGGTTGGGCAGTAGGGGATAGAGAGGTAAGACTGGAAGACAAATAAGTCTGTTCTTTCCCTTGTAGGCTGCCACAGAGCCCAAATTTCCTGCCACTCGCCTGGCTCTGCAGAATTTTGACATGACCTACGGTGTGCAGTTTGGAGATCTTTGGCCATCAATCCGGGTCAGTCTTCTCTCAGAGCAGAAGTATGGTGCACTGGTCAATAACTTTGCTGCCTGCGATCATGTGAGTGATGAACTGGAGCAGCTGCATGCCAGAGACTTTGTGAATAAAGCCCACTCCCATGGGGAACTGGAGCCTGAGAGTGGCCAGACGGCAGCTCCATCCCCAGCTTCCTGGGCCTGCAGTCCAAACCTTCGATGCTTCACTTTCACCAGAGGGGATGTCAGCCGTTTCCCTCCTGCCAGGTAGTATCTGGAGCCACGGCTGGGGCTGTCTTGAGTGTCTGCTGGAAGCAGACAGGAAGAGACCCAGCTTTTGCCGTCTTAAATAGAGATCATAATATTGCTAGTATTTACTGAGTGCTTATACATGTTAGCCTTTTTTCTAAGTGCTGCACATATGTGATCTCCTTTTGTTCTGTTAACAGCCCTCAGAGGTAATATTATTTTTCTTCTTTACATTTGAGGAAACAGGTGCAGAGAAGTTGAAGTCCTTATTTGCTTTAGGTCCCTTAGATAGTAAGTGGTACAACAAATAGATTCTGGTGGTCTGACACCAGAACCTGGTCTTTGAACCTCCTCTGATCTACTGTCTCCTACAGAAAACAACCACCTCTGACTTGAGCATTTACTACATCCTCTCCAGTTAAAATTTGTGTTATTTACAACTGCTTTCTTATAATCACCCATTAAAGTGAGTAGGACAAGTAACCTCATGGTACCAAAGAAGAAGAGGGACTTGCCCAGGAAACAGGGCTTGCACAGAGTTAGCACTCCAGGAAAAAGAAAGGAAAACTTCTGGTCTTCTGATCCAATGCTCAAATGTGTATGAAGTTGAATGGAAAAGAAACTAATCAAATGCTAAATTGTGCTTTATAAATTGAGAAAAGAACAGATTAGAGTTAGTTGTAGAATGTGGAATTCATCTTTGAAGGATTGATTCATTCAGTCAACAAATTTTTATTGTATACCAAATGCCAGGCATTCTTTTTTCTTTTTTCTTACAAACCCTTGTGTCGAGGGCTGACTTTCAATAGATCGCAGTGAGGGAGCTGATCTGCTACATATGAATCCCCAACCAGAAGCAGGTTGTCCCAGGCATTCTTAAGTGCCTGGATTATGGATGCACACAAGCCCTCATGGAGCTAACAGTCTAGTGAGGAAGACAGCTATTAAAACACTACTTATGGCCCTGGCCAGGTAGCTCAGTTGGTTAGAGTGTTGTCCCAATATACCAAGGTTGCAGGTTCGATCCCCTGTCAGGGCACATACAAGAATCAACCAATGAATGTGTAAATAAGCAGAACAACAAATTGATATTTCTCTCAAATCAATAAATAAAGAAAAACAAAATAAAAATAAATTAACCCCCCCACACACACTATTTATGATTTTGATAAGTACTACAAAGGAAAAGTGCAAGATGCTATAATTAGGAGATATAACCCAGTCTTTTCTGAGGGTGTTAAATTTAAGTTAAGACCTGAATACAGTAGGAATTAAAGCTGATGACATGGGTAAGAGTCTAAATATGAGGCTACTACAGCAGGCAAGAGCCATATTATAAAGGTATTATAGGTAATATGGGATTTTGGACTTTTTCTCTAAGGGTAAAAGGGAACTATGAAAGGTTTTAAGCTGGTGAATGATATGACCATATTTGAATTTTTAAGATATCATTTTGGCTGCTGCATGGGAAACATTGGAGAGGGGCAAAGCTAGAAATGCGGATGTAAATTAGGAGGCTTTTGCAATAGGCCTAGCAACTGGCTTGAAGGAAGGCTGTATTCTTTTTTTTTTAATATGTTTTATTGATTTTTTACAGAGAAGAAGGGAGAGAAATAGAGAGTTAGAAACATCGATGAGAGAGAAACATCAATCAGCTGCCCCCTGCACACCCCCTACTGGGGATGTGCCCGCAACCAAGGTACATGCCCTTGACGGGAATCGAACCTGGGACCTTTCAGTCCGCAAGCCGACGCTCTATCCACTGAGCCAAACCGGTTAGGGCAAGGCTGTATTCTTAAGAGTAGTAAGAGCTTGGCCAGCGTGGCTCAGTGGTTGAGCATTGACCTATGAACAAAGAGGTCACGGTTCGATTCCTGGTCAAGGCCATGCCCGGGTTGTGAGCTCGAACCCCAGTGTGGGGTGTGCAGGAGGCAGCTGATAAATGATTCTCATCATTGACGTTTCTGTCTCTCTCTCCCTCTCCCTTCCTCTCTGAAAACAATAAAAAAATAATTTTTTAATAAAAGAGTAGTAAGAAATGAGGCTGGAAAAGTATATGTAGGCCATATGTGGGAATCTTGGATGTCAGGAGCTTGTAGGTTGGGGAAAGGAAATTTTTTTCTGGTGGCCCAGTGTTGCTTAAAAATAGCTGAAATTGCCAGGGCTGGGTGGCTTCATGCTATGTGCCCTTTAGTACATACTGCTGTAAATTGCCAAGATTTGTTTTAGAGAACCACCAGAAAGGGTTTCTGAGTAGAAGAGAAGAATAATGTACAGAATGGGCTTTGGAGTCAAGAAAACCTGTATTTACCTCCTGCCTTCATCATTTATGAGACATGTGGCATTGAATAACTAGAGTTCACTATGTGCCAGCTGCTTTTCTAAGCATTTGACTTTTATTAATTTCTTTACTCCTTACAGTAATCCTATCTGGTGAGTATTGTTTTTATAGATGAGGATATTGAGGCACAGACAAGTTGAGTATTTGCTGAAGGCCACACAGCTAATGAGCAACTGGGCTGGATTTGAGATCCAGGCAGACTGGCTCTCGAATTTGGGTTCTCCTCATAGGGTTGAAAATTAAATGAAATTATACATCTTAAACACCTAGTTCAATATAGCCCTAATAAGTACTATATCTTACTATTGACATATTCTCATCAAAGCTATGCTTCAGGAAGATTATTTTTATTATTATTATTTTAGAGTGACAGTTTATTTTACTTTTTTAATCCTCACCCAAGGATATTTTTCCATTGATTTTTTTTTTTAGAGAGGGTGGAAGAGAGAGGAAAAGACAGATAGAAACATCGATATGAGAGAAACACATGGATTGGTTGCCTCCTGCACGCGCCCCACCAGGCGCCCCACCCGGACCTGGGCCGGGGAGGAGCCTGCAACCTTGACTGGTATTGAACCTAGGACCCTTCGGTCCACAGGCTGATGCTCTATCCACTGAGCCAAACTGGCTAGGGCTTTAGGAAGATCATTTTAGTCACTGTGGTGGTGAGTGCATAGATTGGAGTAGGTTTGGAGACCAATTTGGAGGCATTAACTTTAGGCAGAACCATGGAGTAAATAAGAACCATGTAGTTTCCTAAGTTGTCTCAGGTGCTCTGCTGCCACTCAGGGAGGACACCTTGGGAGTAGTTGGGGAAGAAACTGTATGACTTAGTTGGCATTTTCTTCCTTCTTGTCTTAATGGGCTCTATGTAAATCAAGGGAATCCTTAACCTCTCAGGAGTTCAAAGATGTATTCAGGGAGTCCAGGAAACTCCTGAAATTGTCTGAAAAGTTGTTGTACTTCTTTTTTTGAAAAGCCACTGTAGCTTTTAGCAGATTTTCAAAATTGTCTGTGAACTAAAAAGGTTAAGGAGTGATGCTTCTAAAGGAAGGGACTTGAGGAGAATGGGTTTTGTGGGCCAGTGCTGGTGTGTTAGCATTCTGTGCTTTTCTCAGATATTTTAGTTTTCTTCTCATTCTCCTTTGTGAGGCATGAGGTACACAGTTTCACAGACAGTCCCAGCATGATTTGACTTAAAATATCCCATCATAGCCCTAGCCAGTTTGGCTCAGTGGATAGAGCGTCATCCTGTGGACTGAAGGATCCCGGGTCTGATGCCGGTCAAGGTCATATGCCTGGGTTGTGGCCTTGATCCCCAGTGGGGGGCCTGCAGGAGGCAGCCAGTCAGTGATTCTCTCTCATCGATGTTTCTATCTCTCTCTCCCTCTGTCAATTGATTCCTCTCTGAATCACTAAAAATATTTTTTTAAAAATCCCATTCTGGCTTGAGCCTGAATGCGGGAGGTGTCACAACTTCACGACTGGGGATTTGTAGCTGTTGTAGCTTACTGTCAGTGGTGCTACCTGTGTCTTAAGTCTTGTCATATATTTCTCCCAGAGCCTTCCTGTCAGGGCACCAGGACCAGGTTTCTGTCTCCTTGAGTCTATTTCCAGTG